ACAACAACAAGTGAAGGTACACACACAGCAACAAGTGAAGGTACACACAACAACAAGTGAAGGTACACACAGCAACAAGTGAAGGTACACACACAGCAACAAGTGAAGGTACACACACAGCAACAAGTGAAGGTACACACAACAGCAACAAGTGAAGGTACACAACAGCAACAAGTGAAGGTACACACACAGCAGCAAGTGAAGGTACACACACAGCAGCAAGTGAAGGTACACACACAACAACAAGTGAAGGTACACACACAGCAACAAGTGAAGGTACACACACAGCAACAAGTGAAGGTACACACACAGCAACAAGTGAAGGTACACACAGCAACAACAATAAGACGTGACTGTGATAAATTCAAGGTTTTCTCTCTTAGGGGAAGCTGAAGAAGCCGTCAGGATCTCGCAGTCGTAACACTAGGGACTCGTGTCAGGGTGAGCTGTCACACCACGAGAGGGGAGCGACGCACTTCAGTGGCTCCACCCACAGCTTCCAGAGATACGACATCCTGCCCAGTTCGTTCGGCTCCACGTGAGTGTGAAAGAAACTTTAAGAGATCCAGTCCCTTTCTTTCTAAGCTCCTTGCATGCCATCATCTGGATGACTGAGAACCTACACAGACACAAGCTGCTAAACAGACTCCGCCCCCTCGTATTCAAGGACCAAACTACAGCTCAGATACTCGTGTTTCTCTGTCTGCAGGCCTCACATCTCCATGCTGTTGAGGATCAACTCATCTGACGGGCTGGTGCTGAGCGCCACCAGCAGGCAGCGAGGAGGAGGCGTGATGACGCTCACAGTCTCAAACGGCCACCTGCTGCTTCAGTTTGGGAAGAAGTTTAACCTACGCAGCTACAGGAAGTACAACGACGACCAGTGGCACACGGTGAGCAAGCACAAAAACACAAACACATGCACACGAACGCACATACTTCTTTTCATAACTTAGTGAGGACATCTCATTGACATAATGCTTTCCCTAGCTGCTTACCCATCAAAAATGGATGCCTAACCCTCAGCCTAATCCTAACCATAACCTAACTGTAACCCTGACACTAAAACCACGTTTTGGTTAGCGTGTCAGCGTTGAGCTAACGTTTTTTGCTACCAGCTGTGTTTGTGTCTCAGACCCACCTGAGTTTACCTGAATGATGTAACCTGATTGCTCCGTGTCCCTGCAGGTGTTCATAAAGCTTGAAGGGCAGAAGATGAGTCTGATTGTGGACGGTATCAGTGTTCAGTCCAACAGGATATCTGGACGAGACCGGACTCGTCTCACCGCACCGTTATACGCAGGAGGACTCCCTGCCTCTGTGGCGGTAAGCGTTTCTCCTGCTGGTTCCACGCTCAGGCTGACACCTCTGTGCAGTGAAGGTCGCGCCTTTCTGCTCTTCTTCACGCTGGGTACTGAAGCTCTGCTCTTTCTTAACCTCAGGGTCAGGGTTCTTCCGGGTTTGTGGGGTGCATCCGGGATCTGATGCTGAACGGAGCCCCTGCAGGAGACCCCGCTCAAAGCCAGGGGACAGTGCCCTGCTTCGCGACCCCTCTGCAGCCCGGAGCCTACTTTTCTGGACGGGGAGGACACATCATGATCGGTACGTACCATTCGTTTCTGTGCACGTGTTGGCCACATTGGGTCGTCGTGTCTGAGCGGCGCCTCTGTCCCTCCCTGCAGATGAGTCCTTGGCTCTGAGTCGGGATCTGGAGATCCAGCTCGAAGTTCGACCCATCGTGGACTCTGGGCTGCTGTTGCATGCTGGGACATCGTCTGACCACCACCTGAGCTTAATTCTCATCCAAGGAAAGGTGAGACTCGGGCAGCGTTTCTCCTGAACGTGGTCTACTTGCTGTTTTTCAGGTTTTAAATTTGTGATGTCAAATATTTTTATTTCTGAATGTTTTTATATCATAACTTAAATAAATGACTCAGTTTCCTCTGAAAAGACGACATAAAGGAGTCAGCGTGTAACAGCCAGACCTCTAAATAAGACCTGAACATCAGCTTAGAGCTGCAGGTATCCTCAGTTTGCAGTGCCCCACTGTTCCCCACTCCCACTCAAATCAGTTCAGTTTTATTTACACAGCGCCAAATCACAACAACAGTCGCCTCAGGGCTCTTTATATTGTAAGGTAGACCCTACAATAATACATACAGAGAAAACCCCAACAATCATATGACCCCCTATGAGCAAGCACTTTGGCGACAGTGGGAAGGAAAAACTCCCTTTTAACAGGAAGAAACCTCC